TTCCGTTTCCACCTACTCGTCTTTACTTAGATCAATTGGACTCGCTGCAGTAGATAGGCAACAAGTAACCTGCTCTGTACTTTACTGGAGCTTTTCTTGAATAATGCAATAGTAATATTACAGATAATTATGGCTTTAGGTGAAAAGTGGACGTTGTGATAATTTACAATGACATTCCGGAGCAGACGGCCTCTAAATAATTTAAAATGTCCCCCGTAGAGGGTACGTACATGCTGTTGGTGCTGGCTGACAACAGGCAGTATATCGGCTTCAGATGTCTACTGTGCATGCGCCACATCTAAGCCCCTTTCGGACATCGTAGAGAAAACTTCTATACAAGATTACTGACGCTGAACCCGCACCCCACTGTATCGTATCGTCAGCTCGCCGTCGTAGGATCGTTTTGGGCCCCATTGGGCCAATGGAATGAATGGCAGGACGCCTCCGGCAGGTCTCAGGCGGCTTCTCCGTGCAGAGGTTGTCACTTGCGACACTTCGCTGTCAGACGGTGATAGTTCGGAGCTAGGCTGCTGACTGCATCATCGCTAGACCAGTCACGGATGCCATTTATCTGATTCATAATGGCAGCCTGATCAAGTTTGTCACCTGGCCGTGACGGTCCGCCCGCATTCCCTATTAATCCTGCCATCGGGGTTGGATCTCTACCTTGACCCAAAATGTTCCACGACCTTCTATGATAGAATCACGTGACTTCTGCTCCAGAACCGAAGACTGACGTACTACTCCCGTTTAATGAAGAATATTTCTTTTGTTGAATAGTCTTAGTATAGGAGATTATACAGCGCCATATCAAACATTGCCTGGCCGTACCCCTCAGACAAGCAATCTGATCGTCACCGTGAGACCCCTACTCAAGCATTGTGTGCCTCAAACAGCCTGCGGCTCGTGCCGTTGCGTGGCAGTCGACCCCGCTAGGCGATACGTGGATATAGTGCCGTTGTTCTAAGAGATCTTCTGTGTCCTGAATAAGTTGTCTCACTAACTACTGACACGGCCACGTAGAGCACTCGGCTAACTGTAGTTCATTCAATAGCTAGGGTAGAAGAGAGAATTATCAGGTGTCACTTCGGCCATACCGTTGTTATACGAGCAATGGAATTCCCCCACCAGCCGCTGACCGAGTGAGGCTGCTACCCCGCAACTTTCGCCCAATGATGCTATGGTACCAGCATGAAGAATGTGACACGCTGCGTTATTAAGTTGACCAACCCTAATAACTAATCTTTTCTAGATCTACCTATAAACAATAGATGGCAACGCCCCGACCACCCTCCGACCGCACATGCTTCCATGTCGCTATTATCTGTGCCTTGCCTCTTGAGGCCGACGCCACAGCCTTCTGTTTGACCATTGCTGGGACACAGATCGCGATACCTACGGCCGTATAGATGGCGACACGAACTCTTACATAACCGGTCATATGTGCGGACATAATGTTGTTCTGGCTGTGCTTCCAGCCATAGGAACAACAGACGCGGCAGCAGCAACAGCCAGCCTAAGAGCAAGCTATCCCCGCTTGACACTAGCCCTGCTTGTGGGAATTTGCGCGGGAGTGCCCCAGATCGGTGGATACGACGCTTTTCTAGGAGACGTGGTCGTGAGTCGAACGATCGTCCGTTACGACTATGGCAGACAATATCCCAGTCATTTTATAGCGAAGGAATCGATTGAGGATAGTCTCGGCAGACCGAATAATAATATTCGCGGACTTCTTGCTATATTCGAAACAGAGTAGGTGAGGGAGAGACTACAGGAAAAGGCAACCACGTACTTGAAAGAATTACAAATCCGGGCCACGCAAAAACGGAGGCGCACGAATTACCAACACCCAAATCCTGCGGAGGACAGGTTGTTTCTGCCAGACTACAGCCATAAGCACCGGGCTTTGTGCGATAGATGCCTCGGGGATTCCCAAGGCTTCTGCGAAGCGGCGACAAAAGCATCGTGTGCCGAACTTGGCTGTGACTTGACCAAGATTGTGACTAGGAACAATCGATACCAGCATAACGAATACCAGCATAACGAATACCAGCCGGAGATTTTCATCGGACGTGTGGGGTCAGGCAATACGGTCATAAAGTCGGGAGCCGATCGAGACCGGATTGCAGCCCAACATAATCTTATTGCCTTTGAAATGGAGGGGGCCGGCGCATGGGATCAGGTGCCGTGCATCGTCGTCAAAGGTATCTGCGACTATGGGGCCAGTCATAAAAACAAGGGATGGCAAGCCTTTGCTGCGGCGACTGCTGCATCAGTGGCCAAAGCCATGCTAGGGAGATATGTCGTCGAAAGCCTCGCTGCTAGAAACGCGACTCATAACAACAGTGAGCCTACGCCCTGCATCCTTCTTGGTACCGGTATAAGGTAAGACCTCATGTTATGAAAGGACATACAGTCCTGAGCATGTGCAGCTTCCTCTTTATGGCAATGTGTCTGTTTATGGAGCCTGGGGTCAAGATCTCTGTGTACCAATTTCTACTTCTATGAGTCATAAAAAGGAGACTTGTAGTACCACAAAAGCCAGTTCTGGATGTAGACTCTACGTACTCTCAGGTACTCTTAAGTGGGTCACCGTTATGGAAGAGCACACCGTGCGCTACAGTGTCCGTTTTTCAATTGTTACTTTGAGCGACAGTTGGGGCACAGCGCCCGGCTACTAGCGGTTCAAGAATTGAGACGAGGGACTATTTCGATAAAGTACAAGTAGAAGGACCGAACCCGACTTAGGGGCATTACAGAATGAATTATTCAGAGTTAGGCTTCGTAGAATTTATCCGACGTCTTAAGTAACCGTAGTTTAAATATACAAGATACTGCCGGACTAGTGCCTCGCAGGCTTTAATGTAGTTAATGTCTTCGCCGTCCAACGCTTGAGCACCTGGCGAGGGTTTCTATCCCACTCTGCAAGAGCTTGCGCCGAATACTTGGTGGAATGATGGTCCGGTCCCAGGACTACTTGTTGTCCATGTAAGCATTCGCGCATAAGGCAAAGGGCATTATCTCGGCGCCCACAGGCATACCGGGATACAGCAAGAGCCTGCATCGCTTGTAGGGTATCCGGATGCTTCGCTCCAAGCACCTCGCGCCGAAGATCGAGTACTTCCACCATTATAGGCTCAGCCTTGCCGTAGTGGCCCTGCGCATGGTACGTCGTCGCGAGGTTGGCCATGCTGCTTATCGTGTCCGGATGCTTCGCTCCAAGCACCTCCCGCCGAAGATCGAGCACTTCCACCTTCATAGGCTCAGCCTTGCCGTAGTGGCCCTGCGCATGGTACGTCGCCGCGAGGTCGGCCATGCTCAGTATCGTGGCTGGATGCTTCGCTCCAAGCACCTCGCGCCGAAGATCGAGCACTTCCACCATCATAGGCTCAGCCTTGCCGTAGTGGCCCTTTTTATGGTACGTTGCCGCGAGGTCGGCTATACTCCATATCGTATCCGGATGCTTCGCTCCAAGCACCTCGCGCCGAAGATCGAGCACTTCCACTATCATATGCTCAGCCTTGCCGAAGTAGCCCTGCGCATGGTACGTCGTCGCGAGGTTGGCCATGCTCTCTATCGTGTCTGGGTGCTTCGCTCCAAGCACCTCCCGCCGAAGATCGAGCACTTCTACCATCATGGGCTCAGCCTTGCCGTAGTGGCCCTGTTCATGGTACGTCCCCGCGAGGTTGGCCATGCTCCATATCGTATCCGGATGCTTCGCTCCAAGCACCTCGCGCCGAAGATCGAGCACTTCCACCTTCATAGGCTCAGCCTTGCCGTAGTGGCCCTGCGTATGGTACGTCGTCGCGAGGTTGGCCATGCTGCTTATCGTGTCCGGATGCTCCGCTCCAAGCACCTCGCGCCGAAGATCGAGCACTTCCACTATCATATGCTCAGCCTTGCCGTAGTGACCTTGCGCATGGTACGTCGTCGCGAGTGAGGCCATGCTCTCGATCGTGTCCGGATGCTTCGCTCCAAGCGCCTTCCGTCGGAAGTTTTGCGCTTTCTTATCCACTAGCTCTTTCTCCCTCCACCGCCCTCGGTCGTATAGAAATCCAGATACCCAGCTAAGTAAACTCGCACCCTCGATCTGCATCCCACAGAGCTCAGCCCAACCTGCTGCCGTGATAGCATGAGTTAGATACTGTTCACATTTCCACCATGTCTCACGCTCTGACATAGGGAATAGGTCTCGCACAATCTCAAGGGCGGTCTTTGAGAAATACGCCTCGTCTGTCGTACCATTATAACCTCGTCCTTGATTTGCCTTGATATTAATGCCGTTCGATATTCGCATGCGGAGTCTATATCGCGCCGCTTCTGACACAAGCTTATGCATTTCGTACTCGGGCTTGCCGTTCGCTATGTCTATAATACTAAGGAATGAGAAATCCGTGAGTCGCGTGATCGCCCGTTTGACTTTGAGCTTTCTGTCTTCTTCGTCTTCGTCGGGTGAACCATGTCCACCAGCTCTGGCAAGGATCTCCAATGTGATGTTTCGGTGGTCCAGATAGCCGATCATATATATCATTCTACACGCCATTTCGTTATCTTTGCGTATCCGCTCCATCGAGATCGACCACGTCTCCAATACGCTGTTAGGCACGTGTGGCCGTCGATGGCGGTCTGGCTCAGTGTCTTGCAGTATTTCCCACCGCTGCTTTCCTTGCTTCAGAATATCTAGATACTCTGGAACGGTTGTCGAGGTTCTTCGCATGAATGCACCGGCCTGGGAAATAGCGAGCGGGAGCCACTGCAACTCCTCCACAAGCGCCGTAGCAGCCGGTATATCTTCGCCCGCTCTAGCATTTCTGTAGAGTCGGAGAAGTTCAAGGGACTCGTCCTGGATCATGCTACCAACTTTGATCCCCCGTCTCGGGCCGACTAATGTCCCTGCGATTCTTTCATCGCGGCTCGTCCAAAGTATTGTTCCCGACGGAGCTCGAGGAACGTAATCGAAGAGACTTCTTGGTAACGTTTTCTGTGCTCCTGATATAACCCCAAACAAGCGCAGTTCATCGGCATTGTCTAGAACCAGCACCCATTTCTCTAGCGCCTCGATTCGATATCTCACTGCGTCTAGAAGGTCTTCTTTGCTGAGATTGGTATCCACGCCCAGTTTTTTAGCAATAATTTGGAAGTCGTGGACAAACGTGGCGTCGCTATCAGCGTGTACCCAAAAGACAGAGCAGTCGCGGTCGGCACATCTGCGGTACGCATAGTCAAGTGCGATTTGTGTTTTCCTACTGCGATTAGGTACAGTGTCAGAAACGATGGCTAGACCAACCCTGATCCGCCTAAGCCGTGTAGCGCTGCTGAGAAGCAATCTGTCGCTCCCGGCGGCAGTAGTCGGTCGAGTTTGTCGATAATATCTGGGCGGCGCACCATGTCCTCGTTTCGGGGATAGGGTAGGACGCGAATAGCGGCGCGGGCCGGTCGGTGAGGTAGGTGGTAGTGGAGTGCGACGTCACCCAGGTTCACTTTACTATTGTGGCCGAAGTGGCTCCCGGAGACGTTGCGATGCTGTGGCGCTAACATAGTGCTGGCTCGGGTGATTCATTTGCGGTTCTGGCGACAGAGACGAAGCCTCGATGAACATAAGACTGAAGGTCTAACACGTACTACCAACATCTTACCATCCAAGAAGGGGGGAATGTCTGACCTAAGATTGGCTGATTCTTGAGGAGCAACACGTGACAGGCACTAACCAATCATACGAGCACTCGATTGTAAAAGCGAGCCCCGACCATTGAGCCTGCGTACAAGCTTCACATCGACCGAGGGGATACTGTAGAGTACACTACAGGACCGCTTTGTGGTGAGTTTGTCGTTCCTTTGACTCTAGCCAACAGTTCAGTAAACTAGGTCCCGCCTGCTGCACCCGTGTCTTATCGTAACCATGTCTTGCCTGGTAGACGCTATCCCCTGGGAGGCGCTGATCTCCTGGTCAAGCCTCGCCGTGGGCCTCACGGCGGCCCTGATAACCGTTGTCGTGTGCCATCACTACTCGTGCCACGCCCCACCTGCAATATTGGAGGTGGGGCGTGGCACGAGTATCTGTCTGCCATGTCCGATATTCAGGGCCTGCTCTGGGCCTTGCGGCTCTCGCTCAGATGGGTGCATCCGTACTCCGTATATGATGGGCCAAGCGGGCGCATTCTACGTGACCCCTGCGGTTGGGAAGCTTAGGGTAGTTTGATCGGCAGGGCAGGATGCAGCCACTTCCAGCTTCTGATGTTAAGCAGCTCTGGTGACCCACTGTGGCTGCCACAGTGGAAGTCGTCGGCCAAGAGTGACCTAGCCCGAAGTGGGAGTCCCCAGGCAGGTATCCATAGCGATGGCAGGGCCATCACACCCTCTTGTCTCTAGTCTTCCATTGTGGCTGCCACACAGCAGCCCCATCCAGGCAAAGTGCCCACCGCGATGGCAGGGTCATCACACCCTCTTGTCTCTAGTCTTCCATTGTGGCTGCCACACGGCAAGGACTACCCAGGCAAGTGCCCACAGCCCATCACATCCCCAAGACAGGTGCCCACGGCAATAGCGGAGCTGTCATACCCTCTCGATCCTACTCGTCTCTGATAATCCACAGTGGCTGCACCTGGCCAGGGGACAGTCCCACGGCTGTCCTGCCGAGGTCGCAGTGAGCTTGGCAAAGTCGGACGCCAAGCCACGGGCTGGCTGAGCCCTCACCCTCTCGGACCTAGCCTTCCCTGTTGCCTCAAGAGCTTCAGGGTTCAAGGAGTAGTCGCCACCGCATATAGACACATATATCCGTATTTGTATGTTTGTAATAGCAAGGAATTTCTGCCTTGGGCCATGCCTAGTCATGGAGCTCGTGACCGATGAGGTGCTACTGTCGTTACGTGTACAATCTCGAATGAGAAGACCCAGGTATCGGGAAAGCGAGACCAGTCTTAGAGACGTTGGGGTTCTCATTACTTCTAAAGGCACCGTTGCGCCGACAGCAATCGGTAGGATTTACTCCATGGCACGACTTAAGAGTCAATCTCAAATAAGGGGGCCTGTTCGATTCTATCTACTTAACTATCGTTTAACATACTTCTAGCTCATCCACAATGAGCCAAGTACTATCCATATACGCTGCTCGGCTTGAGAATACGCACACTATCTATCCATGACTACCGTGAGGGTGCTGTCTTTTACGACAAGATCAGGAGCAGTCTGTTGGACACGGCTCAAATTTGACAGTAATGCCAACCTCCTCGCCGGGTCTTGCTACTTCTCGCACTGCGGTCACCCAGTTCGTGACACTTGATCGAAATTGGGCGAACGCCCTTGAGATAGCGCGGAGATCCTTTAGATTGGGATTCAGTGGCAGTTCTGTGACAAGCCCCCTTCCTATTTTTGATGCAACCCGAATCTGAACGTGTGCAGACGGTGAGGCCTTAATTGCTTCCCACCAGTCCGACGGCAGCGCATCCCCTAGATCCTTAAATGTCCAGCTGAGGAAGTTCTGAGATGACCATATTCGAATGTAGTCTTTCCCAGGGTAGATAAGGAAGAATTGCGTAGCAACATTGCTGCAGTTGAGCAGGTCAGTTGCCTCGCCACACTCTGAACAGGCGTGTTCTTCAGTATCATGCGCTGAAACGGTGTCGATGGGACTCTCCAAGTCCTCAATGTCATCGTGGTGCTCGACAATGGAGATGTCTGGTCCTTGCTGAGATTCCTGGGCATGAAGCGTGGGAAGAGCAGTGTCATCGTAGACACTCGCCGTGTCATAATCACCGGAAATCGTTGTTCTGGGTCTTTTGAAGTCCTCTAGTTTCTGTTCGAGTGTTAGTACTGTTGACTATCGCAGCTAGACGTAATACTACCTGAGACAAATGATCTTGTTCCTCTCGCCTCTTCAAAGGCCGAGTTGCTGTTGGAGGATTCATTTTTAGAGTGATTGTTAGATCGATAGTGGCAAAAGTGAGGCTGGAATAGCGTGAGAGTGAGGCGAAGACAATGGATGGCAAGAGCCAGAGGCGACAAGGGAACTTTATACCCATAGCAAGAAACAAAGGTGCCACACGTCAAGACGGCAACGGCTTTAACGGGCATATTCCATTGGTCGTCACGGCGTTACTGGAAGAGTGCACGCCATGCGAGAAGTTTTGGGCCGGGTCACCATGGATTCGTCATCACATGCCAGCATACTGTCATCCTTAGGCTCCTTGCTGAGAAGAGAGAATGCAGGGCCTTCTATTGTGTGCGTGATATATTCCACTCGTCTGTACATAGGCATGGTACAACAGAGATCATGAGTGGCCTATACAATCTTCGCAATGCCGGCTCTTGAATGACTATTCTACGGCTGTGGGGCGTTGTCACTAGAGATCACGACCAGGAGCGAAGATGGACTCCCGAACACAGCGACCTTATTCAGCTGCTTTTAGCCAAGTTGGTGTTGGCAAGGCAGTCTCCCACCACGTATAGACCCTCGCTCTCAACTTCATTTTGCTACTCCAGCTCACTATCCCCAAGGGTATCCCACAATATGATCTCAAACAGATATCCTCTCGCCGAGGCCGCTCAAGGTCATCAGCAAAATTTCGGAGGTCAAAGATCTCAGCTAAAGCAAGAGTAGGCCGCATTCGATTTTTGCACGAATATTGAGCGGCTTTCCGTAGCGATGTGCTACTGTACCATAAGGGCTCGTTAACGACGATCCGCTTTGGTTCGGCCTTTTTATGATCTCTATGGTGCCTGTGTTTGCATCACTTCTCTTGTTCCATTGTTTGTTTCCGTGGTCATTTCTGAACAATCGACCGATTCTCTGTTAGGTGGGGGCCGAGAGGTCTCAGCAAAGGTCACCTACCGAGCGTAAATGGAGCAGATCAGGGCAATCAAAAACAGAACCATAGCTGCTCCCTGCGAACGACAGATTCAAAGGCGAAGATAGGGGGAAGGATGCAGAGAAGCAGCTGCTGGAAACCG